CAGCTCCTTGGGAGCCTGAGGCAGAGTGTGAGAACATAGAGAGCTGTCTGGGATGCAGAGGGACACACATGTCCTCTCACTCTGCCATTGTGCCTGGTGATCGTTCTGTCAGCATTTCTGATCACACACATACCACAAAGTGCAACACACCTGTGACTTCCTTGTGCACATGCAAGAGTGTAAAACAATGGTGAGTGCGTTTCCACCCTGGCAGCGTCTCACGTGATATGAGCTCCATGCCTGGTCTGGGCCTGCACAGCCAAGGAGGGCCCACAGTTCCTGGTGTGTTCCCGGAGAATGGTGCTCATCTGTGGGCTCTGCAGAGCCTCCTTCCTGAGCCAAGACCAGTTGTGGCTTTGCCACACTTTACTTCATTCTGACCACAAACCAAGGTGGTCAGGCTTCACTCAGATGCTTGACAGTGGGCTCTGGTGTATCAGTTTCACAGTCTGGCTTTCTTGTTTGTTTTTGTGGTTCCTATGCACTCTGCATTTCTGACAGTATGCCATGTATTATATATTGTGATAACCACAATGGGTCACTACATGTAACATACAGTGCTAATAGGTAAACACTGATTTGGTAACTATGGATAAAGTATTTGTTTGTTCTTCAAATTGTTTTAAAAACCATAGTATTCCTTATTTGCTTGCAATTTTTTTATTGTTGAAATACCATAGAGAATGTTTACAATTACATGATCAAGATCATGAGTACCTTTCTTATCAAGCATTGTTAACACCTCCTTTGTTTGCACTTCCTATCCCTTCCATTCTCCCCCTCCCACATCCCCTCCCCTTGCTCCTCCCCCACAGCACCCCACACCCAGGCAAAAGTTGAAAAGTTTGTTTTTTGACATAACGACTTGTACATCTCATTGTTGCAACATGTCCACCTGGATCCCTATTTAAACAATTTTTTCCCTTCCCCTCCACAAATTATACCAACATCAATTACAGTGAAAGCAGGGGTTATACTGTGGGGGAGGGCCATACAAAGCAACAAAAAATCATCTTATAAATATGTTAGAAACAAAAGAAAGAAAAATCATTTGAATCTTTATCTTGGGGTTTACTTCGCCTAACATCAACTTGTCTGATAGATTCTGTTTGTCTTAGACATATATTAGTTATTGGAAATAAGACATAACATGATACTGGTGTTTCTATGGTTGGTTTATTTCCTTTAATCTAACTCTCTTTAGATCTATC